GTATTTTGCTTTGAGCTACAGTAGAAAAACGGCCTAAATAAGATAACTTGTAAAAATATTGTTTACCCCGTGAAGTAGTATTAGAGGAAGGAGGTGTTTGAGTGGAGCCATGTTGGTCAATGGCTGTGTTCAAACCTTTTTAATGTTGCCCCAGCATCAACAAAATTCTGATGTTGCACACAAAGGTTCCTCAGGGTCTCCAGAATGGTAGGACTTGTTTAACCACTGGGAAGCTTCATCTCTAAGGCAATGATAGTACACCACAGGGATGAGTGGCAAAAAAAAACTGCACTGAAGTTTAATTCATAGGAAAGTAAGGGAATGATCAACACTGAAAACGGACATAGTAATATGTTTTAAGTATTTTAATTTCAAGGCAGTTAGTTCCCTCAGTGAATCGACAATCTGTTGGAGCACTATTTGTAGATCTTTTCTTGCGACATTACCTCCATAAATGATAAATACGAAAGTTTTCTTTGCTTGAATTGGGTTTGATTTCGTTGGCTAATTAAAACTCTTTCATAAAGCCTTGCCTATGATCTGCCCCAGTTTTCAATTATGTAGATGGTACCATGTTCTCCCCAGGTCTACTTTCATACCCTACGGGATGTTGGGGACAGGTTGCTTTCTCAGAGCATCATGTAAAAGTTTCCTTTTCTTCTCCTGGCTTTTCCATTTAAGGGTGTGGATCATGTGCACATCAAATTGGTCACTGCTTAACTTGTTGGCAACTGCATGAAGAGCCTTGGTTTGATTAATCCATTTCCTTGGGTAGCTTGATCAGAAGGATTTTGTGCGACTGGACATGTACAACACCTGGAGGCTTAAAGAAGTAAAAAGAAGTGCAATGAGCCCAGTTGGTGGAAGATGGTCTCAGGACAACTTGTGAAGGGGATTGGTTGAGGGGGAGATAAAACACAGTTTTGATTGAAAGTAAAAAGATAGCTTACCGTTCCAAAAGTTTTGAACAGAACAGTTTTTCTATCTGTGGACTCCTTCAAGCTCATTTTCACATATGCAGCACATATCTTTTCCACTTCTGATGAAACTTTTCCTACCTGGGAATCTTCCAAATTCTGCTGAAATAGCCTGGGCTGGTTCAGCATTTATCAGGGGTTGTTAGGGATGGTGAATTGCAGCTGGTGCTTGTGCAGAAGTAGCTTTGAAAGCATGAGCAGCACTATCTTCATAGTTAGGAGACTTGGGACAGGTTGTACAAATAACCTTTTGCTCAGCAATGAGTCACAGCACCATTCAAGTAGAGACTTTGAGGGGGCCAATACTTTCCTTGCAAATGGTACAGGAGCAACTATGACCACTGAGTTGTGGAGTCGAATTTCTCCAACTTGGAAATTTCTATTTTTTTTAATTTAAGCAAAATCTACTCCACAGAACTTTTTATAATTTCCCATGTTTCTTCTTCTATAGGTAAGAAAAAGATTTTTAGAAAGAAAACATGGGGCCACTGGATTAGTTTTTAATGCAATTGATGGTAAAAAGTGGGTCAAGTTTGTTGCTATGCAACAGGACAGTGCAGTCTTAATTTATGACTTAAACACAATAAAAGGTACAGTGGAGAGTTACCTCAGTTGAAAAAATCGCACAGCCAATCAAAACAGTACAGTTCCAGGCCTGAAAAATCGCACCTAGTTCTTTAAGTCTCAAAAAGACACAAAACTGTTTTGAGCAACCTTAAGGGAAGGAAAACTTTCATTTTTCCTCCAACCTGGTGTCCCTGGGTTTCCCGGCGTTCCTGGTGATCCCGGGGGACCTGCAGGACCATCCCGCCCGTCCCTTCCGTCCCGTCCTATGTAAAATTAAGAAATTATCATCAGCGTCACTTTCTAAACGCAAGCGTTGAATAGAACACAAAAAAGTGTACTGGCGAGCAAGCGATTATAGAAAAATAACGAAAATGGCATTTTCCTCTCCGTTTGTCTCAATTATCTCTCGTTCTGGTGAATGGGGTTCGTCGCCGGTGTTTTATTTGCCATCGCGCAGCAAGTCACACTCAGTCACTCTCTCTACACAAGTCTAAGATCTGGAGTCAGCACGCCATAAAATTTGAAGACAGTACTCGCTGGAGTTATGGTAACATAGTAGGAAAGAGCGAGGAAAGTCAAAAGAACATCTGTGTTTTATAACTCGAGATGTTAGGTCATTTCTTTTATGAGACAAACCATTGAAAGAGGTAGTTGTAATTTTTCATTACTTTTTCCATGGATATGATGGAAAGGACATATTAATAGACACGTTAAGATAGCCCGGTTCCGGATACGGGTACGGGTAGGATTACCCGTACCCGTACTCGGTTACACTGGAAACAAATCAAACTTAAGATACACCGGATGACAACCGGGTACGATCTGGGCAAAGCCTCGTTTACTTCTATCAAAACGTTTTAATTAAGAAGTATCCTTTCAAGTCAACATAAAGTATGTACTTTGAATTTAGGTTTTTTTTTCATCGTGGTTCATGACCTGTTGTATATTAAATCTATTTTAAATGTGTCTCAACTAAAATTTCGCGAAGAGACTACACCTCGGTTAACGCGTGTTTTGGAAAGCAGCACGACCTTTTGACAGGCAAAAATTTCTCCACATTTGTGCCTCAACAAAACTTTTTCGTTATCCCAAAACGCTTCAAATAAGAAAAAACTAGTGTTTATGCAAGAATCTGGATACCATTCTGGTTTAATAAGCAAAGATAAAGACCATAAAAACTTACCCGTTTCTCCATTTTTACCGGGCGCGAACTTACGTGTAGACCACTGATCCACTGATTACCCCGGGAAAACGTGTAGCTCTTATGGGAAGGACGCGATCACGTGATCATTTAATGAATTCAAAATGGCGCTAGCCGTACCCGTGCGTAAAAATCGGGGTATCTTAAGGTGTCTAATTACAAAACAGCCCCGCACGTGTAACTCAGATACAGCTCTTATTACAGAGGTCGATCTGGTTTTTTTCTTTTTTTTTTTTTTTTTTTTTTTTTTGATAGATTAAAATTTAAGGTAAACGTCATCAAGCGAACCTTTACATGATTCTCTTGCTCTCGATTCTTCTCTAGAAGATGATTTGTTTTCTCGGAGAGCCCTGAAAAAGGAAACAGAAACCTGAATGACACCCAAACAAATTAAACGAACGTCTTTTAGCTTCTTGTTGAAACTTTTTTTTCTAGTAAGGCTCTTCAAGTTTACCAATTTACAACAAATTCACCTAGACAGCTTATTATAATTAACTACCTGATCCACTCATTAATGACTTCGTGACTGAAACCAAATTACTCCAAGGAAGACCATATAATATACGAGGAATATATGTGATAATATAAAGAATATTAAATGATAGAAATAGCATCAAGTGAACAAAATCGGAAAAAACTCCAAGTACCAAAGCTCTAGCCACTGAGTTACTGAGAGACTGTGTGGTGAAGGGTGAAATGTGTAGTTTCCAGCAGCTCAGATCAGTGGTTATAGCATCCGGCTAGATCACGAAGGGTCGTGGGTTCAAATCATATCTGGGACTGAGATTTTATTCCGAGTTTTTCAGTTGATGCTATCTCTATCATTTGGCCCATTGACGCCTCTGCCGCCCGTAACCGCCCGTGATGATTATTGGCCTTTGTTCCACTTCTGACGTCATCACCTTTGACCAAAATTGGAATCACTTACACTCAAGCTCTGCGGGAGGAAAAGATCTTTCCAATGATACCCAGATCAAAGCAATTGGGTCACTAATTGAGCGTGAAATATACACCAAAATGCTTAGAAATTTGAGTGAAAAACTCGGAGCAAAATTTTTCTCTACTACACTTGGCTACTCCGTGGTAAGAATTTCCAGTCTCGATAATACTTTCGCGGGAATTCTTGAACTGGAAGCAAGCCCAATAGTAGGTCAACAACTGAAGCAAAAAGATAAGAACAGGAGAAAAAGGAAAGGCAGAAAAAATTAAAAAACAAAAACAAAAAGGTGACATAGTACGTAGGATCTCAGAATTTTGGTTTCTGCGCATTCCCGAGCAAAATGCCATTAAACGCGATGCTAATAGAGAGAAAGGCACGCTGTCTTGTTGTAAATGCCTTTTTGAGTAGATTGGAACTCATCTACCTCATATCCAGGCTAAAAATGTCCAAAATCTCCAAAAATGCGTTTTTTCCAAAAATCTCCAGGTGTCAATGGGTTAATCACGCGACCAAATTTTTCAAAACTGAATCCCTTTGTCCCAAAAGTTGGATTTTAGGGTTTTTTTTGTTAATATGTAATAATGGTTACATAAAAGATAATATTAAAATAATTATTTTTTAAAAAAACTAATGCTATTTGTTTGCCTTCCGGTAACACTAGGTTTCATTAGACCGCATTTGGAATTGGCGTAATGACACGTACAACTAACTAATAATTTTGATCATCGAGCCCAAGAGAAGAGAGATCTCGGTCTATCGAGTAATTGTAGGGCAACCATACTTATTAAAATAGCTTAAGCAAAACGAAATTAACCCTGAAAGAGAAAACGAAAGGCATGGACTTTCATAAGAATGCCCGCTTAACGCATTGACGCACTGACGTTTTCACGGCTGATGTTGGCCTTCACTATCCCGCATACTTTGAAGTAAAAAGAAACCTCACCTGAATTCTAGAACTTTCAGTCGTTTCTCGAGGCCTTCAAGACTCAAATCCAATGCTCTCTTCTCCCTGACAAGCAAAGCTTTAGCTTCAAGTCGTTTATCTCTGTCGTTGTTATACCGGAGTGTCCGCTCCAATGTGTTCATTTTCTCATCGATTGTAGACAATCTTTGTTTCATTTTTTGCTGTTCCAAAAACAAGATGGTGATGCAAGACATCAGGAAAACCACTACGGCTACATATAGAACGCATCGAAGAATCTCCGAAAAGCGCCCTTTTAGCTTATGTTCCTTTTTATCTTGATCCATGATGTGCCGGTGAAACTTCGACCGAGAAGAAATCTGAACTTTTAAGAAGCTCTATTCAAAAACTGCATCCTTCAGTTACATTGAGCAACCGATATGAAAGGTATTTTCAAAATGATGTCTGCTTAGACTCACYTCTGATATAAAGCGGGATAACATTGTATCTGATTACAGTCAGATGTGTGAGTGAAGCCTTGGAGCTGATGGCTCATAGCTGCCGGAGCTTATCCCGGTTTCTGTAGCATGAAGCGGCTAGGAGTATTTCTACTCCCCCTGGACGGGATGCTAGTCCATCGCAGGTCACTTCCCCGCAATTTGTTAGGTTTCTCCAACAATTGGGAGACGCGGTGGCCTCATGGTTAGTGCGCTCGTCCCCGGAGCGAGCGGTCCGGGTTCGAGCCCTGGCCGCAGACGAGGTGTTATGTTCTTGGACAAGACACTTAACTCTCACAGTGCCTCTCTCCACCCAGGAGTATAAATGAGTACCGGCGACAGTCAGATGTACCGGAAGATAATGTCTTAATTTACCAAGTGAAACGGTTATAACGGGTATCTCCGAGAAGGGACCTTTATCCTTGTATTTGTTTTTGCCTCAGTGACTCTTCAAGAGGGACACTGGAAATTAAACTCCGACAGAGATTGAACTGCTGATAGTGATGCATGTAAACCTTACTTTTTAGCTTCAACTTAGGACGATTAACGATATCCGCACCGTTTTGTATAACATCTAAAGGAGATAGCCTGACCTATTTCCAGGTTATGTACGAAGATAACAAAATGATAACAAAAGAAAAACCTTATTAAAAATTACGAAAAAAACGTTCACTGGCTAAAAATTTTCAAAAAGAACATGAGCTTTCGTTTTTATCGTAATTTTTAATTATGTCTCATCCTGGCTGCGCTTAAATCTTTAAAAGAAAAACCGTTAATTGGAAGAAATATTAAGTCTAACTTTTATTTCCCAAAGATTCTGCAGTCAGTTATTATTTAGTTCTCAGTATGTCTGATCGATTCTGGTAATAAGTCGGGTAAGAATTTCGAATATGGAAAATATATATTATGTAAGATAACTTGGATTCATTCCCATTTCAAAGCTAGACAGGTCAGATATGCAGTAATATAATATACCGCTCGATGGAGTATCTGCAGACCTCACCAGATTATAACAATGTTTTCACTATGAAGGTCTTCACTGAATTCTCTCCCTAAGCCAGTTTTAAACTTCCTGAAGGTATGGTACGATTTTAGAATTAAAGATCAACCAGTGGTATCTCCGGGAAGCATGCAAATCCGCGTCGAATTAGTAAAAATTTTAGTCCAAAAATCGAGCTAATGAGATTATGCGTCTGCAGAGCATCTTAAGTGGCCCTGCCGGCGAAGAGGAACGAGCGGCCCTGGGAACAAAAATGGTAACGATTGATGCAATAGTAATACCAGTCTACATTCATGTTTGATCCAGGTCATCTTCGACATTTTAGTTTTTATTCTGTAGTGATCTGTAATGACCTTATGTCCCGGCTGGGACGATGAGCCGTAGAGATTATGGGGATCAGCATGTGTAAACTGTTTACGACGTCGTGAAGATCGCTCAACTTTGTCTAAAGCAGTCAAGTGGAAAGAAGTTTTACTCTATCAGTTTAAACGTTTCTTTACCAAACCGAGCATATATTATTAAGGCTTGCACCCAAGCGTAATCATCGTAATTCACACGAACCCATCATATCGTGCTTCAATAGTTACTGTGACGTCAAAACTTCAATAGGAAGTCAAGTTTACTCTATTCTAAACTGGTATTTTTATCGTAATAACGAAATACATATCACAAAATAATAGACCTGAACAATACTAACATTTTATATTTAGTATTTGTACAAACATTTTTACTTCAGTTGTTATTTTGTTCTCTTGGCGCACTTGTAAACTAACTGGTGCGTCCTCCGTTACCATAGCTAAGTGTTGTGAGGTTTATATGAAATAATTCATATATGAACTGCGGTTGTAGATGAAAGTGAAGAATGGTCATCGCAGTTACTTTTCCAATTTAAGCAATTGGAAAGAGGAAACCTGAAAAAATCAGGGCTTCAACGGGATTCGAACCCGTGACCCGGTCGCAGGTTGAGCCGCCTAGGGTTTCGGGTGCTGTCCTTGTACTCCGGAGCATCATTGTTGATCATTTTTAAGTTTCTGTTTTGCATGATTTAATATATTTTCTTTTTTATTCAGTGTTCTCAATCAGAGCAACAGTGAAATAAATAATCCCCTCCACATTCGTATTCTCGGTATTGGACTGGAACTAGCTTGCAATGGAGGCTCATGCTGGGAAATATCATTAAAAAGAAATTTAGACGCAATCCGATTGGAAATCAAGCAAGTTCAGTTTTTAGTGGACAAAAATCTGGTACCAGAATAATTTTAGGTATTTTACAGTCCCTGTTACATTTTCTTAAAGCTAATAATATAAACAGTTGCCTCAAATAACACCGAAAACAAAATACCCACGAGAAAATAAATTTCAAAGTTCAGAGAAATTGTGCGATCAGTGGTAAAAGATCATCATCAGTTTCATTTCACCAATACTTTAAAGTGTTTCATATGAAGTTCAAAATTTGGTGTTGTTTTAAAAATGATTTTCTTTTTTGGAAATATTTAAAACAATCGCACAGAAGTTTGCAATACATTGTAAATAATCAAAGTTTTTGTCCGCTTGTTACTCGAACTTCTGGTGGATCCCTTGTTAATGTCATTTACCTTTGAAAACATTTCCTGCATTAGCCTCCGTTGCATTTTTGTTCCATTCCTATACCGAGATTGATTTATCTCTGATTCTCTTAATTTTTTCTACATTCGTTGCGTTTCAATTAACTAGTAAAACAACGATCATTATGTATATTTGAATCATCTTGGAAGAAAGCGTGCGAAAATAAACGAGTAACTTCTTTGTTCTGTTTTTTTTGGATATGTTTTCTTAAAGAAATGAAAAACATCAAGTTTTCCGGAGATGTTTATATGATGTTATAGAAACACTCGTGAAAGCTTGTGGGGAATTCCATAAAGCCCGTGGAGCATTTCGCGTTCTCCCAATCTTCCACTACTGTTTTTTAACTCGATTAAAACGCGTGAAATCCTTTTCGCTTCTTGATAAATCGTAATGGATACCCTTTGGTCCCGGCATGCCTCGGGCTCCAGCAGAGCCTTTTCTGCCATCGCGGCCGTCACGACCTGAAGATATAATGGAAAATTGAAGCAATGAAGAAAGCAAATTGTTCTTTTCGCTACCAGTTACCTTCATCTACAATGATCGGTTGTGCTAATTTGGCCCAGAATGTATTACTGATTTTGAACTTTGACTTCTCCAAAAAGTGTGCGTAAGCTTCTGTGAAGCGCTCGCTGGCCCTAAACCTAAGCTCTGGCGCAACGTTTCTATGTAAGAAGAATACACTACATTTGGCGAAAGGATTTCTCCAACTAAATGGGAACAATAGCCTTGTTGATCGTCTAGCTGATATACATCATCAGTTCTCAGAAGACAAACGTTATGCAAACCTTATTTAAGAAATATGAGTTCTAAGCAAAACGGTACTTGTACGTAACCCGATCGATTTTTTTTTTTTGGTTTGCAAGAAACAAATTTTAATTTCCATTTGTCGCAAGTAGCAATAGTTATGCTTCATGCTCCCTAACCTGGTGTTCCTGGTATCCCTGTTGTTCCTGGGTGTC